TTTTGTTCTATTGTTTTCAGGGTAGATTATAAAATTCACTTCACAGTCTGCAGTTCAAGATGGAGTAAATGAGTATTTCCTCCAGCTGTGAGCACTAAACCAAAAATAGAAGTACTGTCAGAAATATTGTTCAGCACAGGATGAGACTGTAGCTCATGGTGGGAAGAACAGTGACTGTTAAAGAACAGATCTGTTAATGAGGGAACCAAGCAAGAACTGGTAGAAATGTAACTTCTCTTTCCTTAAGCTTTTACTCCAACCACAAATGTATTCTCTGCTTTGAAGAGAACTAAAACTGAAATAACCTCTTGCTGGTAATCTTTAGCTGTAATTTATTCTTTTGAGAATAAGCATTCTCAAAAACGAGGAATAATGCTCAAAAAATGTGTAATATTGAGAAAGGGGATATACTTTAGAATGCATTAGTTTAAACTCTAAGAAAAACCAAAGGTGATGGAATGACTGAATACAGCAGTGTGGAAGGAGGTACTCATTCTGGTAAATACTTGCTGAGCTGGAAAAGAAAGGTGACTGCGGCCTGTGAGTGCCAGAACCACGACTGCAGCAGAGAACATCCGTTTTGGACATATTTTCACAATTAACAACAACAACAAAAACTCAAAAGGGTGAACCTTGTGGGATTTTACCTGCCCAGAAATGAGTATGGCATACCACAAAACAAGTCAGTGTAGAAACTAAATATGAGACACTCCAAAGAACTGGAGACTCTCTATGCACTTGCACGATAAAATACTGACTTGTATTTAATAAGAGCATGATCCTGTTGGAAAATTCTAATTTAAGCTAACCCATAAACGTTAGCTTTAAAGGAACAGCATTAACAGTGTCAGTTAACCTCACAGAAGTTAATATATTTTAAGGTAAGACTAAGACATAGCACCTACCTAACAGATGCTGCATATAAAGGTATTGGGAACCCAAGTTGAACGTGAGACTTTTGAAAGTTTTAGCTTTAAATATTCAAAGAAAATTAAAAATTGTTTTTAAACAGACACTATTTAGATGATGTTTGTGAATGCCTTGATTGTATGCTAACAAATTTAAAATGTTTATTTTCATGTTCAAAAGAAGTGTGGCCAGCAGGTCGAGGGAAGTGCCCCTCTACTCAGCTCTCATGTGACCTCACCTAGAATACTGTGTTCAGCTCTGGAGTCCCCAACACAAGAAGGACATGGAGCTACTGGAGCGAGTCCAGAGGAGGGCCACGAAGATGATCCGAGGGCTGGAGCTCCTCTCCTATGAAGACAGGCTGAGAGAGCTGCGGCTGTTCAGCCTGGAGAAGAGAACGCTCTGGGGTGATCTTAGAGCAGCTTTCCAGTACCTAAAGGGGGCCTACAGGAAAGCTGGAGAGGGACTTTTTACAATGATGTGTAGTGATAGGACAAGGGACAATGGATTCAAACTGAAAGAGGGGAGATTTAGATTAGATATAAGGAAGAAATTTTTTACATTGAGGGTGGTGAGGCACTGGAACAGGTTGCCCAGAGAAGTTGTGGATGCCCCATCCCTGGAAGTGTTCAAGGCCAGGTTGGATGAGGCTTTGGGCAACCTGGTGTAGTGAAGGATTTCTCTGCCCATGGCAGGGGGGGTTGGAACTAGATGATCTTTAAGGTCCCTTCCAACCCTATGATTCTATGATTCTATGTTTGTATAATAAGTCTGACAGTCACTCCTCTACATAGACAAATCAAACTTTTTCCTGGTTTTGTTTTGGGTTTTTGTTTTGTTTGGTGGTTTTTTTTTGTTGTTGTTTTTTTTTTCTAGTCTGAAAAAGTTCTCAGATTACCTCCTTGTACAGCATGGAGAAAAACAACACCTGATTTTATAATCAAGTTCTCAAACACTTAGTAGCAACTAATAACAGAACTGCTGAACAAGAAAAACTTCTATAGGTACATCAGTGATAAAAGGACTAATGAAAAGGTAGGCCCTTTCTGGAAGGAAACAGGGGACCTAGTTACCCAGGATATGGAGAAGGCTGAGGTGCTCAATGACTTTGACTCAGTCTTGACTGGCAAGCGTTCTAGCCAGACTGCTCATGTCACATAAGGTAAAGGCAGGGACTAGGAGAATGAAGAACCACCCGCTGTAGGAGAAGATCAGGTCTGAGACCATCTAAGGAATCTGAAGGTGGACAAGTCCATGGGATCTGATGAGATGCATCCACAGGTCTTCAAGCAACTGGCGGATGAAGTTGCTAAACCGTTATCCATCATATTTGACAAGTTGTAGCAGGCCAGGGGAGGTTCT